ATGCTTCATGAAGTTCTCGTGTTTTTCAGCTCCATCAATTCACTTATATTTCTCTCTAAGTTGTTTATTCTTGTTAGCATTTTGTCAAATCTTTTTTCAAGGTTCTTAGTTTCTTTGCATTGGGTTAGAACATGTTCTTTTAGCTCACAGGAGCTTCTTATTACCCACCTTCTGAAGTCTGATTCTGCCATTTCATCACACTCGTTCTCCATCCAACCTTGTTCCCTTGCTGGTGAGGAGTTGTGATCCCTTGTAGGAGGAGAGGTGTTCTGGTTTCGGGTGTTTTCATCCTTTTTGTGCTGGTTTATTCCCATCTTTGTGGATTTATCCACCTGTCGTCTTTGTGGTTGCTGACTTTCAGATTGGGTCTCTCAGTGAACTTCCAGTTTGTGGATGATGAAGTTATTTCTGTTTCTTAGTTTTCCTTCTAACAGTCTGGCCCCTCTGCTGTGGGACTGCTGAGGTCCACTCCAGGCGCTGCTTGCCTGGGGATCACCTGCAGCAGCTGCAGATCAGTAAGGGTTGCTACCAGTTTCTTCTTCTGCTATCTTTGTCCCAGAAGTATACCCACCAAATGTCAGTGTGTTCTCTCTTTTATGAGGTGACTCTTTGGACATATGGGGGTCAGGGAGCTGCTTGAGGAGACAGTCTGTCCTTTATTGGAGCTCAAGTGCTGAGCTGTGAGCGCCATTGTTCAGAGTTGCTGGGCAGGTACATTTAGGTCTGCTGCAGCAGAACTCATAAACTCCTTTTTTTTTTTCCACCAGGTGCTCTGTCCCAGGGAGTTAGGGCTTTATTTATGAGTTTCAGTGGTGCTGCTGCCTTTTTTTTTTTCAGAGCTGCCCTGCCCAGCAAGGAGGCAGCCTAGTCACTGTCTGCCTGCAGAGGCTTTGCTGAGCTGCTGTGGGCTCTGCCCAGCTGCCGTGTGATCTTCCCTGCAGTCCTGTTTGTATGGGTGTAGTTAGAACTGCCTCAGCAATGGTGGCCTACCTCTGTAATGGCGGACTCTCTCTGTAATGGCAGGTTGCCTCGGCAACGGTGGGCTGCCTCAGCAGTGGCGGACTACCTCTGTAGTGGTGGAATGTCTCAGTAATGGCAGACGCCCCTCCCCCACAGAGCTGGACCATCCCCGGTTCAGCTGTGCTTGCTGTGAAACTCTCAACCCAGAGCATTTTCAATTGCTGTTTTGTTTGTGTGTGTGTGTGTGTGTGTGTGTGTGTGTGTGTGTGTGTGTGTG